ACTCACCTTACCTTTTTCTCACTACCTTAGTGATCGTCTGCCTGTTTTACGTCTTTGAATCACTTTTCTGTTCCTCCCCCCCCCCCAACTTGACTTTTTGTGACTTTTATGATCCTGCCCTCTGTAAAGCCTCCTTGAAGCTTGAAAGCAACTAAAGTTCTAATGACAGCTATTTTTATTTGTTTATTTCAAATGGCAGGCGTCTTGATAGTTATCATTAGCCCTTTAGTTGACTTCAGGCTTCACAGAGGGGATGGAGCATCAAAAAGAGAAAAGTCGAGAGGAGGGGAGGAGGGACTGAAGAGTGTTTCAAAGATGTAAAAGAGACAGACACAAAGGTATAAAAAGATGAGTTGAGTACTGTGGAAGAAGTCGAATAGAAAAGGTAAGATGAATACCGTGAGTAGTGTAATATGACATAGTGTCGGGTCATAATAGTTAGGATGAGTTGAGTACTGTGGAAGAAGTCGAATTTGACATACAGTGGGGTGATGGTAGTTTGAAGGATGTCGAATTTGACATACAGTGGGGTGATGGTAGTTTGAAGTCAGAGGTCAACTGCCGAATACTAGACGTTTTTGCCGTATGAGTATACCTTGCCCAGGGTGCACCACGTGGAGGTAAGTCCATTCCACACCCCATGATAGCTATCATAAAGCCTGCCATTTGATATATCTAAATTCCGTGGGCAATCGTTAAGGCCACGCTTAGCTGACAGTTTCATTAGCTCCTTGATCCCTCCCTTCTGAGCTAGATTTTTTCGAAACGCATTGGTAGAGTGCAAATATCTTCTTCCGGTCATGCTTATCTTCTGTTCATAATTACTTCAGCCATAAAAGAAATCAACTCATTAGGAACGCAGATCCACGCATACAAATAATATGACCTATTTTATTGGAAATGGAAAGTGTCCTCGAATGGCTTAAATCCCAATAAGAATTAACTCAATAGAAATATATTCTCAAATAGGGTGTTGCTTGAATACCTTATTAATCTGAAATCTACATCAAAATAGATGTATGGAATTGAGTGCACTGAAGGCTACGAAAGAAGATATCTCTTCTACAAAATAAAGATGTAATTAAATAACTTCATATTTTATTTATTTCAAATGGCAGGCATTTTGATAGTCATCATTAGCCCTTTAGTTGACTTCGGGCTTCACAAAGGGGAGGAACATTAAAGTGAGAAAAATTCGACAGGGGGAAAGAAGAGCGATTCACAGATGTAACAGACAGACACAAAGGCAGAGAAAAGGCTAGATGAGTACTGTGGAAGGGGTCGAATATGACATACAGTGGGGTTATGGAAGTTTGAAGTCAGAAGTCAACTGCCAGTTAATAGACTTTTTTGCCGTATGAGTATACGTTGCCCAGGGTGCACCGCGTGGAGGTAAGTCTATTGCGCACCCCAAATAACTTCATATATAATGTTTGATTTTGATATGTCCGGCCTATTTAAGAA